TCCTAAATTATCTCTCAGTATCTAAAGAAACAAAATTCTGATTATTAAAATAAGGAAACGAAGTGATTTACATCAACGTTTAATGGAAGTCCTTGATCAACAATGGCATCTTCACTATCATCATTATGATTACAAATGAAAACAAAAATCTAACTAACATTTAAGGATAATATTGTATTCGAAATATTTGTCTTTGTCTCTTCAAGTGGATTATCATTATTTTCATCTATATGTTTATGTTTTATTTTGTCGAAATGCATCTTCACCCTGAATATTTTTAACGTGTTTTCGTAGTGAACTTCGATCTGTATAAAATTTACCACAACCTCGAATTTGGCATTTATATGTTTTCTAAAAAAAAAAGAAAATTTCATTTGTTATTAATTTATTCCAAAACTAAAATTCAAATTTTATTTTAATGTGTTCATTTAATATGCTTTGTTCGATCTGATGAATTACTAAATGCTTTTGAGCAATCAGCATATTCACATAGATATGGTTTTTCACCTATTCAGTTTCAAATAAGAAAAATCAACATTAATAAATAATCAAAAAAAATCACCTGTATGTGAACGTTAATGTAAACGTAAATATTCTGCACGTCTAAATGTTTTTGTCCAATCAATATGTGAACAATGATATGGTCGATCTTGTGTATGTGCTCGTAAGTAAAGAAATTATGAATAGGGTGATTTAAATGGTATTCAATTACATGTACATGATTACCATTGACATAACCATGTATGAAAATCAGTTCGATTAATATGAACAGATCGAATATGTTAACAAAAAGAACCAATAGGTATGCAAGTGAGAAATCGATAATTGTTGAAATTGGTACTCCTCGAAAAATTTGATTTCTTTTATATATAGCTGACCAACATAAACAATTAGGTACAATATACATGTGTTAATTTAACATAGAACAAATCAGAGTTTTCAAGGGGACTGATTTCAGCTGTTACGGATCCTCTGACAAAAAAATTAGTTAAAGTTTTGTACTTCTGTTAATTGTATTGGTGTTGAAAATAAAAGATCACAACCTGACCATTGACATTGAATTTCATTAGGTTCAATTAATGGAGCAAGAACCTATTTAAATCATATTTATAAATAAATATTTAAATAAGAATTTTAAAAAAAACACAAAATGATTACTCTAGATGGAATATGATCCGAAGGTTGAACAGTGGAAGTAAGATTCATCCATCACTTGAAGAGAGTGATGGTGTAGATAATCGAGAATGTATATAAATATGTTTATAAAAACATAAATCTACTAAATATGTTGTGTAACTCTTCAGATTTATGATAAGAACAGAGTCAAACTTTATGATTTCGATGTCTTTCTTTGGCTGTCATGTCTACTTCTTTTTGTGTTACTTGTTAACAGTTTTTTTTTTCTTGAAACTTTTGATTATAAGCTTATTGAAAAGAAAATTCGTTTTTAGAAAATTTAAAATTATTTGCTAGATAAATCTATTCTTTCAAGTCGATAGATGAACAAATAATATTAAGAAAACAAACTTTCGTTTGATCGATGTTAATGATGGTAATGTACATGATTGGATTGGTGTCATATACGACTTTTTAGTAAGTATTTTTGAATGTTGCTATTCATATTTTTATTCATGTGTTATCTGGTTTATTTACCAACAGACTGGCATCTTTTTTTTTTCTTCATCATTAGATAAATGTGATAATGATTCTAACAGACAAGAATAATTATGCGCTATGTTAACGCAAATAATTTTCTGGTTTTTCTCGCTTCTATTCAAGTTTATCAATTCACACATTAATTCTAATGAACATTTCATTGTAATAAATTTAAATATAATTGTTTTGAAAGTTCTTCCAGTTGATTATTAACATTTTAATCTTTCAAAATTTATTCTTTGAGTAATGATCACACTATGTCTTCAGTATTTTGTTATATTATTGAAGAAATCATTAGATAGAATATAAGCAAGAAAAAATAGTTTTAATATAAACAGAATACAGAAAGAAAAAGAAACACTATCTAATCGAAATATATATATTAATTTGACGACATCAAATTAAACTAAATATGTTTGAATAGAATTCAGTCAGAGTTATAACTACATAGTAATGATTACCAGTCAACAAGAGTTTTCTTTTTAGAAAACGACTTGATTTTGCAGATATAGATGAACAGAAAATTCACGCTCACATTCATCATAACTTCATTTTGATCATCAAAAACAGATTTATCTCAAGCTCTTTATGATTTTTATCCTATATTGATTCAGCTAAAATTGAAATAATCTGATGATTGATGAACCAAAAATAACATTAATATCAATCGAATCATCTTTCACAATAAAGAAACTCTAATACTCAATGAGACTGTTTGAGTATACTATAACAATATGGTAAATATGACACTATGATCTTTCGTTTTCTCTACTGCAACCATGTGCTGTGTTTGATTCTTCTGTTTTTTAAGGTATTTTCATAAAATCCTCTTCTCACCGACACTTTTCTATAGAACTGATTTTTAAACGTTCCTTCAATTCTAAGTTTTTTCCAGTATGATGCTAATCATACTTACTAGTCTCTAGATTTTCGAGACACACGATACTTGTGAATCAATAACCATGCAGAGAAACGGAATTAATATAATGTACTGAACAGTTTTTATTGACACAAACTCGAAAATATAGTAAGCAAAGGCTCTTGATGAGATGTCTGCACATCGAAAGAAACAAAAAAAAACGAAGAAAAATGTAACATTACGTTTCTTCGGCAATCCTTCGTTTACATATTCTTCTTTCAGATTGTCACTCACTATACAGACGAGAGCACAAGAAGAAAAAAAACGATGGCAACAATAATAAAACTGCATTTACAAAAGCACTGTTATGATGACGATATTTTTTTCTTACTTTTGATTAAAAAAAAGCAACATTCGTGTCTTCAATATCACTGGCAATTTTAGTTTTAAAAAAAATTACAATCTCACATGTGAAGAAACAAAACTAACGTATTATTTCTTCATGAATTGTAGAAATAAATATTACACATTTTTCGAATGAATCATATAGTATAAAGCAAAAACTACTCTTCGAAGATTAGAAGTAATAATCTATTTGTTGAACTATTTCATTCATTTCTGTATCGGAAGCACTATTTTATCATCTGCAGCATATTTGACGACGATATAATGTTTATTATAATAATAAGACAAACTTTGTTGTTTTTTTTTCGCTCTTGCTAGCAAGAGAAGAGAATGAAAGAAAAATAAAGAATCTGTGAGACAAAGTATCCAAAGCAAAGACACTTTTAAAGTCATTATGCAGATGAAAAGCAAACAAAAGTTGGAAAGAATAACCATAAAATAAATGACGCTGTTGTCAACGAAAAAAAAACAATACTCACATTCAAACTAAATGTGGGCAATTAATGCAACAATCTTTCTATATTCAGAACAACCCATAGATTTTGTAGTCAAGCAGTCTCGTTCTTGCATTGAAGACGTCAATTGCAAACGTCATCAATCTTTAAATGAACATATTGTGAAAGACACAATAATCATTTGAAACTATCTCTTCTTTTTTTCATTTTTTACCTATCTCAAAGATAGAAATATCGAGTCTCATTCACACTATGCAAAATAGTATCCAATGTCAACATAATATCATTCTTACAAATCTTCAATATTTCTCCGTTTTTCGCATTGATTTTATGACATTCTTGTCTAGAATTACTTTTAGAGTTTCAACAGCTCAAATAGTATATGGAGATATTTTTCGTAGAAGATATATGACCATCTCTCATTTGAAAATGATTTTTTGTGGTAATTTTCACTTATGTTAGTAGAAGATGTTGTATTTATATATAAATGGTATTTAGGATTCTTTGCTTAGACATAATGATAAATTTTGTACATCAATATGCTACGTATATTATGATAATCACTTCTTTTGTAAAGTACTACTAGGTTAAGTTGATTAAAATATGAAATCTATGTATCATGTAAACCCCCGGACACATTAGAAGACCCCCCACCCCTGTAGTAGAGATGACCCTCCCTTGAATCAACGAAGCGAAGGATAGATGAGAAGACCCACCCATCTCCTCTGACGATCCCCTTAGAAGCAGGTGAACAGGTCCTCTAATCTATCCTTTGGGTTGTTGATTCAAGAGAGGGTCATCTCGTCTATAGGGGTGGGGTTCTTCTAATGTGTCCGGGGGTTTATACCTACACATGCAAGCAGATCAATTGTACGAAAACTCAACCATGAACAAATGCAATTAGGATAGCTTCTTATGAATGTTAGAACAAAAATTCTTTTTATTTTAAACATATGTTGAATGAATATAATATGTATAAATCAAAAACTATTTTAGCAAGGTTGTGAGTGATGATGCATTCATTCTTCTAGACTCATTGACCTATTCTCAATTTTTCATTGGTCTTACTGGAAGATGTATTCAGATTCTATAAGTTCTCAACTTAGGAAACTCTCGAAAGTGCTATTTTACAAATGGTATCTAATATTTAGATAACAGATCAATCAAACCGTTTCACACACAATCATACTGTGTACTTTTGAAGATTCTAGGAGTTTATAAATGATGAGATTCCGTTACTGCTCGTCAAACAGGTATAAGACACAATATGTGTCGCTGAGAGTTAAACCAAATGTTGCATCAATGAATACTGAGTTTATTTTTCTTGTTGTTTTGTTCACATCATCACAAAGTGTATTATAATAAAAATGACAAACAAACGAAAGTTGGAAAGAATAATAATGCAATTATTGATGTTGTTGGCAACCATATAATCAACTGCAACTAGGTAGAGTTTGTCTTGAGTGTCAACAAAACTAAAACACACACTCACATTTAATGTCGTAGAAAAATTTTAAAAAAAAGTCAACACCGAATATATATAGAAAAGACGAAACTTTATTCAAATAGCAATTCACTGTGCATTGTACTCTATTATTGATTTAATAACAGAGTTTCCATTCAAAATGAATCGACAACGACGGCGACAAATGGCTGAAAATTATCTGGTGATCTGGGTTGATGGCAATATCAACATGGAAAACGAAGATTGTCAAAACACACTCGCGCAATTACGCGGTGTTGTTAATGAAGTGAACCCATGCACCACGGTCGAACAATGTATTGAGACCCTTCAAGAAAATAGTGAGGAGACATCATTTGTTATCTCCTCGGGTGCACTTGGCCAACATCTCGTACCAGAAATTCATGGCATGCCAAAATTAGATGGCATTTATATCTTCTGTGGTAACAAACAACGTCATCAAGAATGGGCCAAAGATTGGCCAAAAATTAAAGGCGTTCACACCACAATCAAGAGTATCTGTGAAAAACTGGCAGTAGCTGTCAAACAATGTAATCAAGATCAGGTAACTGTCAGTATTATTGGCGTCAATGAAGGAGGTTCTAGCGAAGATCTCAATCAGCTAGAACCATCCTTCATGTATACACAAATATTCAAGGAAATTCTCCTTGATATGGATCATGGCCAACAAGCCATTAAAGATTTGGTCACCTTCTGCCAAGAACAATATAAAGGTAATAAAAAAGAACTCAAAATTATCGATGAATTTCAGCGCACTTATCAACCAGCATTGGCGATATGGTGGTATACCCGCCAATGCTTTACATACAAAATGCTTAATCGAGCATTACGCATGCTCGATGGTGACATTATTATCCGAATGGGATTTTATTTATGTGATGTCCATAGACAAATTGAAGATTTACATAGCAAACAAATCAATGAATATCATGGTAAGACATTTCCACTTTATCGGGGTCAAGGATTCCTAACGGCAGATTTCGAAAAAATCGCTAAAAACAAAGGTGGACTTATTTCGTTTAATAATTTTTTATCTACCAGTAAAAATCGAGATGTGTCCCTCGGTTTCGCCAAGAGTGCCCTAGGAACAACAGATATGGTTGGTGTTCTTTTCCAAATGACCATCGATCCCACAGAGTCATCAACTCCATTCGCTTCGATTCGAGAGCTGAGTGATTTTGCACCAGAAGATGAAATTCTCTTCTCAATGCACACAGTTTTTCGAATTGGTGATGTTCGAAAAATTGACAAGAAAAGTTCACTTTATGAAGTGGATCTCAAACTTACAGCAGATGATGATCAACAACTCCGTCGATTAACCGATCGTATAACAAAAGAGATCGGTGGTGGTGGATGGTATGGAATGACCAAATTACTGCTCAAAATAGGTCAATTCGACAAGGCCGAAGAATTGTATACCGCATTACTAGAACAGGCCTCGAACGACAGCGATAAAGCATATCTTTATCATCAACTGGGATGGTTGAAAAATGACCAAGGCCAATACAAAGAAGCAGCTTCATATTATGAGACATCTCTCAAAATCTACCGAAAAACTCTCCCAGAAGATCATCCTTTACTGGCTAATACCTACAACAACATTGGTCTCGCATATAACTACTTGGGCGACTACTCAAAAGCACTTGAATTTTACGAAAAAACAATTAAAATAAAAGAAAAGGTCTTATCTCCGAATGACCCCAATTTGGCTCTTTCCTACAGCAACATCGGTGCAGTGTACAACGCCATGGGTGATTACTCGAAAGCACTGGAATTTTACGAAAAAGATCTAGAAATCACAAAAAAAGCTCTGCCTCCGAATCATCCCGATTTGGCTTCTTCTTACTCCTGTATCGGCGGAGTCTACAACACCATGGGTGACTACTCGAAAGCACTGGAATTTTACGAAAAAGCGCATAACATAAAAGAAAAAGCTCTGCCGCCGAATCATCCCAATTTGGCTAATTCCTACAACAACATCGGTGCAGTATATAACGACTTGGGTGATTACTCGAAAGCATTTGAATCTCACAAAAAATCCCTTGAAATAAGACAAACATCTCTGCCTCCGAATCATCCCAATTTGGCTTATTCATACAACTGGTATGGAAAGATTTATCGCAGTATGAAAGATTATCCAAGAGCACTTGAGAATTTTGAAAAGTGTCTCTCAATACGTCAAAAAGCTTTACCTGAAAATCATCCAGATAAAGCTACTACATACAGCAATATTGGTGATGTTCATAGATTAATGGGAGATTATGAAAAGGCACTTTTATTTCATCGAAAAGCATTAAATATTCAAGAAAATGTTCAATGTAATTCTCTCGAATGTGCATTGACATATATAAATTTAGGTGAAACTTATCGAGAAATGAAAGATTATTCAACAGCATTGACATATTTTCAAAAAGGATTAGAAATACGTCAGAAGAAATTACCAAAAAATCATCCTGATTTAGCTGTTGTATATCACAACTTGGCAAAATTATATTTATCTACTCGACAATATAATATGGCAATGAAAAATATTCAACAAACGATTGAAATTGCACAAGAAAAATTACCTTCAACTCATCCTCATCTTTCGGACTATAAAGAAACATTTGAAAAAATTCGAAAGAAAATGTAATTTATTCTTTTTGTTTGCTCAATAAATTCATTCCGATTGCTATTCATTTTGTTTATCGGCTCATTTTCGCGTACGCGCGCGCGACCAGGGAGAGACCCTGTAAGCCTGAAATGGGTACACGCAGAGCGGACCACACCGGACTGGTAGGGCATGATTGTAGGTATGATGTACTTAAAGACGACAGGGACCTACGAACAGATAGGCCTGCCCGAGTACAACACTGCTTTCTCCATAACAGGCACAAGGAATCTCCCTGGGTCAGATTACGAAGCCACCTGATAGGCTGTCATAGAAAAAGAAACAAAAATAGATAAACCTCCCCACGAAAAAAAAAAAATTTTCTATCTTGAAAAGTTCTATTGGCCACTAGAACTTTACAAGATAGAAATTTTTACTATTCCTCTCTTCTACTTCTTAAGAGAAAAAAAAATATAAGCAACATACTTTATTAATGATTGAAATATAAAACATAAATAATAATATACATATATATATCATTGACATAACGTTATGTAATTATAATAATTTCATTTAAATAAATATTTCTTGCACTCCTGTAAAAAAGAAAAAGATTATTAGAATACTTATTCAATATTATGATGATAGAATATTGAATAGTATTCAATGATTTCATAGAAGAAAATCATTCGATCTATATATGTTTTAAACATAAAGTATACGTCAATGATGATTATATTCATTGTTGTAATATGACATTGTGATGAATAAGTCATTAATTATAAATGAAAATGAAATAATGACAAAAGAAACAAATATATTGCATTGTTATAATTTCATTTGAACAAAAATTTACTTCTCTATTTTATTTTTCTTTTCGAAATCGTTGATCTTGAAAATGAGTGAATCGTAAAGACATATGTTTCTAAATAGATTGAGTAAGACAATCTATGTATGATTATCAAGAATAACTAAATTGTATTTTTCTATATATTGTACATCTGATGTGAAATCGCTCACAAGACCAGAACATGTTTTTCATAAATGGTTAACCTTATGTCATCCAGAGATGAGTCAAAGTTTTTTGGGTTATTGTTCCTATGTGTTTATTTTTATTAGGAAGAGTCACGACAATTTTTTTCGATTATATTCGGTTTCAAGTTCTTTGGAAAAATAAGAAAAGTCACATATAAAATAAAAACATAAAACTATAGATTAATCAGAAGAGTAATAACAATAAGATCAATTGCACAATAAAAAAGATGTTGAAATTATAACAGTGGTGTAATTCGATATTTACATTCATGTAGATAAACTTTTAAATAAAAAATAAAGAATTATATTTAATAGGAATTTTTTTCGAAAATCATGTGATCAGGAAATATCAAATATGAGATCGGTTCCAACCGATTTCAAAATCGATTCGTTTTGAGATTTTTAAAAATCTGTATCGCGATTCAGTTCGATTTGATTCCAAAAAAAACATAAAGTGATTCCATGTCTGAGAGGTATATGTCTTGTATTTTCATTTCAGAAAATTTTCCATTTAACTAAATTGTTCATTGCATGATACCATAAAGTATGAAATTGATTCCACAAGGACACCAACCGTAGAACTTTATATTGTATGAGAAATTGCAGCCAACGATTGATTTATTAGAATTGATGAACCTATGTTCTGCTTTTATTGGAATCATGAGAAAATTTGAGAAAATGAATCTAGCTAGTTTTGGATTGTTTATTTCAACTTAAAAGGTCTGAGTATTTTTGCTAATAAAAAACTCGATGAAAATTGAAAAGGAAGGAGTTTTTATTTGTTGAATCTAAGAATATAATTCTACAAATTATCCAATTGGAAATATCGTAAGAAAAATCTTAAAGGTAGGGACAAATAGTGATGCTTGAAAAACATACAATGAAGAAATAAACAGACAAAAGTCTATTGAATTGTCGTTCTCCTATTAATATTCTAAATTCGAATCTTTTGTTAAGAAAAGTAAGTCATTTTTTTGAACTAGAATTTCAATCAAACTTTCACCTTCAGAGTAGATGAACTTTGATTCAGATCAGATCACAATAAATGCGCCGATATCGAGCTTCAAACAAATAAAAATTTGTTTTGATTGACCAAAAGATCTCTATGACCACGAGTCTAGGTAATCTACTTTTCTTTCAGCTTACTTGTCTACAATATGCAAAATATACTTCTTAAATGTTTCATATGTCCCTTACTCACACAAGTTCAATAATATTCTGGTCAATTATAAAAAGAATTTTTTTTTCACTTAGTATCAATCAATTTGTAAATATAACTCAAAATTAATCTAAAGATGCTATATCGAAATCTGTGATCTTGAATTAATTAATTTAAAAAAAAAATTCATAAAGTTCTTTATATTCTTGTCGATATGTATCATTCATTAGCATTAAATGAACATCAAATACGTATGAGTTTAATTATTAATTCTTATACATATTTATTAACTTATCATGATTATCATATAAGTTTTATAATAAAAAAATTCATTAAATCGTTGTATGCAATCAAAAATTCAACGTTAAATATCAAAATTATCAATAGCAAGTGATTTAAATCAATAAGATTTGTCCGATATATAAAAATAGTTTATGTAAAGGCGATGATAGTCATGTATCGGAATAAAATTTAAGAACAAATAAAGATAGGGAGCAAAATAATTACAATCAACATTAGTTCTACCTCTTTCTCTGTTACCATCATTATCATCATCATGATCAAATGGTTCAAATTCAACATTAACTTAAATATAGATGAAACAATTAATTCAGAAATTTATAAACAACTTTTATATGATTTAAAACATTTAATTGTTAAAAAATTATTAAATAAACTTGATGAATATTTATTAAATAATTCAACACTAAATGATTTAAATTCTATAAATTATTTACAATTATTATTAACATTAACTATTGATATATTAGTATATCCAAATGAATGTGAACAATATATAGATTTATTATTAACAGCAGCCAAACAATTAGATAAATCAAATGTTATTAATTATTATTTATAAATATTTATTAAATAAATAAACTGTTTTATCACTAAATGGTATCAACAATCATTATCGAATTTAATCATCTTTCTTTTTATAAACAATTTACAAAATATCATCCAAATGATGTTTTTGAAGCTTCTTCTGAATTATTAGCACAAACTCCAACAATATTATCATACTTGGAATAAGTAAAGAATAACAAAAAAACAATCTATTAAATATCTCTTTTTCTTTGGATATCATAGATGAAAAAAAATATTCAGCATTGTTCAAATTGGCAAAATTTTTGTAAAATTGATTCATTAGTAAACAACATCAAATCATACATGAAATAAATGAATGAAATAATTTAAATTAGATACATTAAGTTGTGTTTATTTTGTTTTAATTCAAATAACTGAAAAGTTTTGTTAAACTCACAAATGATCGATCAACTTCAATCCATTTGTATTCCGAAATGGATCATTCTAATTTTATCTATATATTTTTCAAAATTCTATCAAATTTCAACTTTTGATCTTTTAAAAATTCTTTTTTTTTCTTACACTTTCACTAGAACACACATACGCTATTCGATTTCATATTAAATGCAACTACGAATTCCTACTACAACTCCAATATATGTTGAGTGAAGTTCACTTCATTTCCCGTCCATGATTCTTAAAATGT